TATATATATATTATACCACATAACAATAATTTTCATCATTTTGTTGTAGTTGTTCATATTGTTTATGTTACTACGTCTCAGTAATGGATCTGGAATTAATAGAGCAGCTACACAGCGAGACAACAAAAATATTGCGTAAATATTTCTTAAAAATTTTTTGAATTTGATACTCTAAATTTAATGATACTATATACATCCTCCTCCATTGCACGACAAACAAACTTAAAAGTTATTATGTGACCATTTCATAGAATAAAATATTAATTAATAGAACTAATAATAGAACTAATCCGAATAGTGTTACTTCTCTTCTGCAGAGTCTACCATCGGCAGACCATTATTTATTATACATTGCTTTCAAAGTTCCATACACTGTTTATTAACTTTTCGTCGCAAAATTGAGAAGAGAATTTTTGAAATAGCATTCAAATTTTATAAATTTATTCATATCACAATTCGATTGTGGACCTGTAGAGTTAGATGTTCAGTACTCGTACCAACTTTTTCATGACTGGGCTTGCAGTCCTGTCTAAAGAAATTTTTACCCTTGAATGCAAGATTTGGTTCATAACATACAGCGGTATAAGATATTGTTATTTTTGTAACCCACAGGGACTCGTTAAACAGAAAAAATAAAAGGAAGTACGAGACGAATGCATGGGCTACATGTGGACTTTAATAAAATGATATGAATATTCCATGGGAATGCATGGGGATTATTTGAAAGTGAGAATGGATTGGTGGGATTTAAATTAAAGACAACGAAGTTCAAGATGGAGCAATCGAGCCACTTCTATGGAGCGAAGCTGTAAAGAATAACAAACATTGTCGATACAGGATTTACGTTAGAGTCTATCAATTAAATAGCAGGATGATTCAATTGAGTGTATATTCCAGAAGCATGGGAATCATAAGTTCGTTGGAGAATCTTTTTTAAAAATGAACTGATAAAGAAATATAACGAAATCTTATCTTTCTCTCTGAGAAAGAAACCGGAATGGATTCAAGTAAATTTATTTAACAGTTACGTAGTAGATTTAAGATTTTATTTGGGGGCTGTATTGAAATTCTTTTAATTAAAAGAACTACAATCTATAAGCCGTAACAAGTATGGACCGCATTGGATAATGAAACTTCTTTCATTTAATTTAGGGTTTATTGGTACACATATCCAGATAAATTCGTCAATACATCATATGTACTACATGACATCATTTCTAATAATCTTCAATTTTAGAAGAAATTTAAGTGTGTATCGGGCATCTATTTTACTCAATTACTGCATTTCATTTTCAAAGTACTTGATATCTTTTATATTAAATTCGGATTCCGTTCTGCTTGATCCATTGCTTCTGGTTTTAATTGTTGGATATTCATCTTCTGTCAATCTTTTGTAACTGTATCCATCCATCAGTTGGGTATAAAAATCGCTCTTCGAAATATTAATATCAAGTTATCTGTTTTGTCTGTTTGTATAAATTGATTCAGTATTAAGCTAGTGTTCTTACTCTTTAAGAGACTCGAGAACTTATGTAGGTTAATGCAGAATTTTTATTGATATTTTAAGATTGGGAATTAAAACATTCCGTTTATAAGCATTATGCAAGTAGAAAGAAGGATTTTATAAGAACTTTAGTTTCTTTAATAAAATGAATAAATATAAATATTTTAAAACAAACAAATGATTTAAATATGCAGCTTTTTTGATTCCGCTTTTTTCCAAATCTAGTATTCCGCTGTACGATGGTACGTCATTTGATTATGATTATGCTATTGGAGCTAACAATGAAGACGATGAGTTAAGTGAGACTGCCAGGCAAAATGCTTTTATGCGTTACTGGAATCACCTAATGCGAAACGTTCGCATACCCATACCAACGATTACTTGGAATATGACAAGACCTTTCGCCAACTTTTTCAGACATCGCCAATCCAATATTGTCGAAGAACCAGTTAGTAATCAATATGAATATCAAAACGAAATAAATGACAATCATAGACGTAAAAGTTCGCGTAAAACTAAAAACAGTCACAAAAGCAGTAAGAAGCAACGCATTAAACGAAGACGCACTCAATATGAAGACGATGTCCAAGACGATGAAGAACAAACGCAACAACAAGAAGAACAAGTACAGAAACCAGCAGTCTTGTTACAGACATATCCAAATAATATTGGACTGCACAATGCTATTTATTTTTATGATCCATACAAGGATCAGTACTATCAGGCGCAACATATGCGCAAGCAAGATAATTATAATTATATTAATAGTGTAGAACAATTTGAGGAAGCGCCTGAGCAAGTACAAGACCAGGAAGATATAATTAATAATGACAGTGGTGAAGTCTTTAATGCAGATTCTGAGCATGACAGCACAGTTAATAGATATGAATCTGTAGAGCAACTAAATATAAATGACCAAGATAGTAATACTGAAGCAAGTTCACAAGAGGATAACACTACGGCAGTTTCAGATGAAAATAAAGAACAGGAAATTCGACTTGCACCCATTAAAATTAAACAACACAAAAAGCAGCGGCTACGGAATGCAATTGGCAGTTATATGAGAGATGATGGTCCAAATAATAAACGCCAGCGCAACAATCCGAGAATATCTAACAAAAATTTCGTTAAAAATAAGTCAAAACCAAGAAACGCATTTAATTACCTGATTATGCAGCGATGGTAGAGACTTGATGAAGCAAAATTGATTGAAGGTCCTTTTACAAAGTGTAGTAAGTTATTATAACGAAATAATAAGTAAGATTTTTCTAATTACTATTAATTACAATATAATTAAATACAAAATTTCATTTAACAATAGTTTTATTTTCGACATAACTTATGGTAAAAAAAACTTAAAACTGAGCTTAAAAAATTATATTCACAGCTCCCAGCATTAGGTAAAAAAATTGTTTATAAAACAATTATTATAATAATTAATTCATAATGATAACATTAAAACTATATTACATCGTCCCTGTGCCATTTTTAATTGACTCTAAGCTTCTTGAAGTATAGTTTAAAGATTGAGATTTTAACGCTTTGTTTTTGTTTTTGGCAACGTTCAGTCTTTGCTGTTAAACTGTTACTATAGTTGAAATCGTAAAAAGCACCAATAGAATAACAGCAATACGAGGTAAGGATAATAGCGTAATCTTCATGGGTATTCAGTCGGTAGGTCAACTTCTGTAACAGGTTCGACATTTTCAAAATAAGGATGTTTTAAAGCATTTTTTGCTGTTATGCGTCGCGTTGGGTCATAAATCACCATTTGCTAAAAATTTTATAAGTTAAACGATCATTAATTATTGTCACAAAATTTAAAAAAAAAGTTTAAACTTTACAAAAAAGACATTGTTTATATAAATTTAGTTTTTAATAACTTAAATGCTTAATATTACCTTAAAAAGATCAAAGCCACTGTGATTTTTAATGGCATCAGGAATATTTTGTGTAACCCATTTAGGAAAATTAGCTTTATATTCTGGGAAATTTTGCACACCTGGCCAATTAGCATTGTCAGGTGTACCGAAGGTACGAAATATGCGATACAGTTGATCTATTTCACTGTCGCCGGGGAATAATGCACGTCGCTGTATCTAATAAAAGAATTTATTATACAATTTATTTAATAAGTTAAACTTTAATAAATTATACCATCTCAGCAAAAATGCATGCCAAACTCCATATATCCATACCAGTAGCGTAATATTTTGAACCCAACAAAATTTCTGGAGCACGATACCATAGAGTTACAACCTCATGAGTGTAAGCACGCATTGGTATGCTAAAGGTACGTCCCAACCCAAAATCTGCCAGCTAGAAACACAAACATATTAATACCAATTCCAATAAGAATACATCAATTTAAAATCGAATACCTTAATCTGTCCCTTTGCATCAATAAGTAAATTCTGTGGCTTTAAGTCGCGATGTAAAATACGTTTGACATGACAGAAGCTAATGGAATCGAGCAACTGGTACATGTAGCTCTAAAAATGTTGGAATAATTTTAAAATTTTAGTAATTTATGGTGGACATTTCTTACTTTAATTAACTGGGGCGTGAAAGCAGATTTTTGCTTGTCCAATAGTTTCTTCAAATCCATATTAAGATATTCGAACACCATGTAAAGTGCACCATTTGCAACCACCACATCGTACAACTGGACGACATTCTTATGCTTCAAGCTCTTCAGCAGTGAAATTTCACGTATAGCAGTAGAAGGAACGCCTTCAGGTTCACTAAATAAGAATATTAATTATTTCATTATTAATGCTGTTATTATTAATAACTTATTTAGATATGACAATAAATTTACCTAATATGCGCGTGTGCTGCATGAATGATACAGATAATTTTACATTAATACAAATATCAAATAATATATAAATTTATATTATTAATATATTTAAATGATTTTAAAAACAACTCGGCAGTTGGTAAAGTAGCATGCAGCAAAGGATAAAGCCGAATCATGTGGTGCTACGTACTCAATAAACGCGTGGCACACCATGATCCAGTCTTTACACATCGCCAAATATATTGCATTTTTATAATTAATTTGCAATTTTGCACTAAAATAATTTATAAACACTTGTGAAGCATAAACAAAGCACGAAAACACAACATTGTGTTCAGCCGAAGCGAATTTTTTTACTTAGGGCAAATGACTTTCGTCAAGGACAACGCACCTGCCGTCACTTTTTTCTGTTTTATTTGCCTTTTGTCTCTACACTAACACGCAGTAAAGGACAAAATAAAAATTTGTTAAGAAAACGCCGCGAGGCACTTTCACATTGCACCATTTTATACTTATAGTTAAATAATTGCAATTATTTTATAAATTTTTTCTTAATTTGCATTCTAGTATACTTACTTTTCAATGCGAATTCTTTTCAACGCCACATCCTTCCCAGTGGTCACATCCTTTGCTTTAAACACGACGCCATAAGTCCCTTCGCCAATCCTCAGCAAACCTTCAAAGTTTTCAATTTTTTGCATTTTGTGTCTTTATTAATAATAGTAATAAACAGAATTAATTTCCTAATAGATGTTTTCTTCAGAAATCTTTTTACTAAATCCGACAATTTCAAAGCATCTACAAGCACACAATAGCGGAGAAGCCGAATTTGTTGTGACAGCGCGCGAGAGTGGTGGCGTTACCAGCTCGAGTTTTCGCAATCCAAGAAAATATTTAAATAATTGTTGATTGTTAATATAATTGTTAACAATTCTGTTACGCTGTAGTTTTTTTTTGAAATTCGCTGTTTCGTTTCGAATTTTACATTCATACTCTTATTTTTTTTTATTTATTATTTGTATTCAATTTGTATTTTGTGAATACAATTTGGGAAAGAACATTCAGTATTGCCTATGGATATAAAATAGAATAAATGGACATGAACCGGTGACAGCAAAAATGCCGTAGCTATGAGCTCTATATATATCACAGGTCTGTGCCACGAGCTACTCATAGTAACTTTGAGTAACATAACGCTGTGTATACACACGTGCGTTCCACCAGCAAATTTTTGAGTAAATGAGAGCACCTGAGAGAGCGAAACATCCCTGTCGAAATTTGAAAATGCTAAACAGATATTACTCGTACATTTTATTTCAAGTAAAACTTGTACTGATGTGTGAATCAGGTGTTTTAATTTGAATTTAAATTTAATTTAATATTTGTAATGTTTATTTGCCCGACGCTGGTGTTTTCACTTGACTTTACACAAAGCTGCTCCATAAAAATCTGTGCATAGAGCGAAATTTGACACTTTATTTGTGTTACGTTCTCAGTTTGTATTTTACTTGTGTTTTACTTAAATTTTACTACGATTAGCTCGTAAAACAGACCTAGTATATAGCCTAATGCTTATAGTAAGCACTTTGCTGTTTTTTGCTACAATTAAAAGATGCCGAAAACACCTAATATTCTTAAGTACTCCAATAATATTAAGAAAATAGTATTTGTTAGTTCTTGATAATTCAAAAAATGTTGTATATAAAGCGGACCATACCTGGATTAATTACGGTTCACCAGTAACTAGTGTTATAGTACGTTTACACAATTTCAATTTGTGTCTTCGCAATTTACTTGCGAGTTCTAACGCAACTTAATGCATTATCCATACAAAAGAATTCAAGTTAATTTATGTACACGTATAACTGACTAAGACTCGCACTACTTCTTGATATTAATCTAAGCCGATGTGTTACAGAATATTATGTCAAAATAAAAAACATCAAATAAGATTAATTTAAGATAATTATTTCTTTAGAATAAATAAATATATATATATTTTATATATATAATATAATCAGTGACGACGCGTGCCCTATCTGGAAGGGTGTGCGGCCCTTCTTTAATGTTGTTTTTACATGTACCAATTATATTAAAATATATGAGATCTTTTATTAATAATAACTATATTATATAAGGCAATAATATAGTCGCAATATTATATTAACAATTCATTAACAAAAGAACATATTAAACAAATTAAATTAATAATTTATATATAAATTTAATATTATATCAATATGGAAGAAACAAAACTTTTTACATACTAATTCTCGTAACATCAAACCAACTTTTTTCAAACAAAAGAGTTTTAACTCAGAACCATACATGTTTATCCAGTGATCAAACAAAATCAAACCCACTTGCAACGTACAAGTGTGCGCACAAGTACTCCGCACAGTAAGAACAGAAATTTGTGGGTGCTACTGTTAAAAGGGGAGAGACGAAATGTGATAGAAATGTATGCTGAGATGAGCTGCAAACTTCAGCCGCTCACGCAACCACTTTGGCAAATCATTATGTTGGATTCGTTGATATTCGAATACAACAAAAATTCACTCTCATACAATTCCCACTATATAAATCTCTATCTCTGATATTACGAATGGGAGCACACGCACATTATTTTGTTCATATGCAACGTATGAATGTGCTGCCAACTTCTTTGCACACAAAGGGGAGAGACGAAATAAAATAGAAATGTTCTGTGATTTGAGCTGCAAATATATGAGCACAACTAACAAGTATAGCAGCTAACAGAAGCAAATTGATTGAGTTTTCATAGACAATTATATTTAATTGTTTTTGCTAAAACTTTAAAAAAATATATATGGAAATGTAATAAATAATAATAATTCTTGATGTGAAGATACTTAATAAATTTATATTTCAATGTTATTTGACATTTTGGAAATTATGTTAGGGTGTTCACCGCACACCTCCGCACCTTAGAGCAATCGTCACTGAATATAATATTATATCATATCAGTTTAGTTTAAATAATTTTGAACATGTACAATAACTAGTATGGCAACATTAAAAGCATTTAGTAGTTGTGGTGCCCTCTAGTGAGTACTAGAAAGCTGCTATTTTGAAATGGTGTGTTAACTGGAACGTTGCAAATGCATTTGAAATATTTTTAAAATTGTGTTTTATACATATTCTGAAAGTAATTTTTCTTAAATGCAATTTTTAAGATTTCTGTTTTTATTTATACTACAATCAGATGTTGTAGCTGTTTGTATTTAGAGTCCTCTAGTAATAAATAATGTGCTTGTGTACAAACCTTTAACAGAATTATTACTTATAATTTAGTTTTCTGTTGTTATTTAATTTAGATAAAATATTATAAAATTAAAAATTAAACCAAAATTTATTTTAATAAAACTACTTTTTTTTAATCAAAGTGAACATCTATCTATAAATAAAGACTTTGAGATTACTGCGTATAATTCAATATAATAACTAAAATAAGCCTAAGTTTTAAGGACTTCAAAGTTAATGTTAAACTTAAATAGGACAAAAGCATCATTCACTTAGTTTCTATGTGCCTTTGTTTATTTTTTTTGATTTTATTCGCTTTCTGTGTTTGTAAAACAGTTGCTCTTGCTTTTATTAAATGTTCATGTTTTCGTTCGCTTGTGTATGTGAGTGCAGTGAATTGGAAATAAAATGAGAATAAAAAATTGCCTTAGGGAAAGTTTATTAGTGGCTTATGTGATATAAATTATTTATAAGTTCAATAAGTTTTTTCTTCTGCATTAATTGCAAAGTAAAATCGAAATCACTGAAGGTAATGTAGACAACGATTAGCATACCTTTAGGCTTGGGTGTTGTTGTTGTTGAATTATGGTGAATTTAAGTGATGCTGTGAATTAATAGCAAAACCGACTTTAGTTCCAAGAACTTTAAAATTAAATAATGTAAACATTGATAGAAAAAAATTAATGAAAAGAAATAATAACAATAATAAGTGAGCATAGCAAAGAAATAACAAATAATTATAATTCTGTATAAATGAAAATGGAAATTTGGATATATTGTGAGAGATTTTAAAATGGTGAGAATGGTGAGAAAAATCAACAAAATTTTTGAATCCACAAATTTTTTATTTTCTTTTAAACCAATTAACAAATTTTGTTTTGTATATAAAATATTTATTTTTAATTTTTTCAGCCTTAAAGATACTTTTTCTGCATTCCCCTTGATTTCTACATTTTTCCTCATGCCTCCCTTTTGCTGCAGTTGTCAATGTACAGTAATCCCAACTATAACACGGTAGTTATAGGAAAACGCGTTATAGGGGTATTCCCGTATACCCCGTATACACACGTGCAAAGTTACGCGAAGCTAATTTTGAACTGTACAACTGTACAACCCCGCGTTATATGGGGGATTGAAATCGCGTAGGAGGAAAACGCGTTGTAAGGGTACAGTAATATAGGGGGATTACTGTATTTATTGTTGTTATAATCTACGAATGCGTCAATAAGCAAATATCAATATAAGCAATTTTCTAGTCCAAAAAGAGGTAAATTTATAATATATAATATAATTTAGTTGATAAGACTAAATTATAAGAAAAATTGAAAAAAAATAACAAAGAGTGAATTCACTTCTCAGTACCAAATTTTATTCCTAATTTATTTTTTTCAATACTAATTATCATTCTTAATCTTCAAGCCATTTTTAATGTGCAATAAATATTTTAATAAACAAAGTTAAGAATTTTTTGTCATATATATTTTAATATGTGTATTAGCATTTAAACGCCTCTACATGGAAGACATATAATACATAATACATATGTATTATAACATACATATAATACATATCTCTGAAGACTGTACAGCTCTCATACAGCTTAGTAGATTCTGGGCCAATTTTACCAGAAACGAATCACAAATCAACGAAGCAGAGTGTTCAAGCATCGACCCAAAAAGGATGAAGACTTTGTTGGACATAAAATCAACCCTATAATACATATCTCTGAAGACTGTACAGCTCTCATATACTTTAGTAGATTCTGGGCCAATTTCACAAGAAACGAATCACGAATTAACGAAGCAGAGTGTTCAAGCATCGACCTAGAAAGGATTAAGACTTTTCTGGATCTAACTAACGTGAATGAAACCTTTCAGTGATTTTAGAAAGAGCAAGATATAAATCACCGAGGTAGTATAACAACTATACTATAGAAGTAGTAAATAATTTTGGTATTTTTTCAAGAATACAATAAAATTCCATAAACCAACAAACTAAATAAGATGAAAAATCCAATATCAAGAATTTGAAATATTAAGAAAATCGTGCATTGCAACATTGATTGACTTTAGCAATTGGATTTTGGGTGAGAAAATGTATTACTTAAGAGAAAAAAATGCATATGCAAGAAGAAACTAAGCATGTTAGAAAATCCAGCATGAAGATAAATGAAAAAGAATACCAATAATCCTGGCATCCACCTCAACATGTCAGTAAGATGTCGACGCTGATGTCTTCCCTGACGTATGCAAATGGGTTTGTTGTGCACAAATTTTTTTTGCTTAGCTGAACAGAGTCCTTCCTCTGCTGTTAAAAGCCATAAAAACTCTTTACCGAAAATAAAATTGACAAAAGTTGGCACACAAATTGCATTAGTGAAGGAATTTTTAGCAAATGAGTTCGCTGCTTTCACAAATATTTTAACAGTTTTACAAAT